AAGTAGATCAAAGCTACTATATGGTCGAAGTTAATAATGTTGATAGAACAAACTTCGATAGTAATCTGGCTCACATAGGGCCATGCAATCCTCCAGACTTTGATTTGGAACCAGTACTAAATGCCTTTTTCTCCCTCTACCTACACTCTGACCATGGGTTCCAACGGGATAGAGAAGATTTATCAAACATTGACTATGGAGGAGTAGATGACATACGACCAACAGGCTGGGGAAGTGAATTCAGTGATGATGACTGAATCACAAGCTTTACAAAAGATTTCGGCATATGTAGCCCAAAGTAGAATGATAGCGGCCTTAGAGGCTGAAGTCAAGTATATGGCTTTCGAAATCAATGAGTAAGTGTTTCTTCCAGAAGGTCCTGGGAAAGACTTTGAACCAGAACCAACTAACTTAATAAAGGAGGAAGAGAGAAGCCAGAGGCTAGATACCATCTATGATGATGCGCCTTTGGGTTTTGAAAGAGATCCGTTGGCAGACAATGTTAAAATGCTAGCGCAAGATCCTCTGGAAGAAATAGACCTGGGAGAAGGTTTGGTGAAAATACCAACATACATCAGTGCGAAGATAGATCCAGAGCTCAGGGTCGAAATAATCCAATTGTTGAAGGAGTTTAGAGATTGCTTTGCATGGGATTATGAAGAAATGCCTGGTCTTGACAGAGGATTGGTGGAGCTTCAACTGCCAATAAATCCTGGAATAAAGCCTGGAATATAGCATGTCAAGCAAACTTCAAGGTGTTTTGCACCAGATATCCTGTCGAAGATCAAGACGAAAGTCGAAAGACTGCTGAAATGCAAGTTCATCCGAACAACTAGGTATGTCGAATGGATTGCAAATATAGTACATGTTATAAAGAAAAATGGTACCTTAAGGGTGTGCATTGATTTTAGAGATTTAAATGTTGCAACACCCATTGATGTTATAAAAATTGTACCTTAAGGGTGTGCATTGATTTTAGAAAGAAAAAAAAGGTAAACAACCGTTGATCTTCCAAAAAGGGTAATTTTTGGTTACTTGCAGGATCGATCAGTTTGATCTGAGGATATATGCTAAATATTTGTGTTTTTTTTATAAAAAATCTAATTTTAATAAAGAACACATTCGACTGAGAAAGGTAGAGGTTTGAGATAAGTTTAAGTGTAGAAGTCTGGTAAAAAGTGCAAGTAAAATGCAAGGGAAAATAAACTTTGCAAGTAAGATAAAAGGTTGTAAGCAAGAATGGCAAGGAATGTAAAAAGGAATGTAAAAGACTTTGATTATAAAATGTGTTGTTTCAAACGTACATTCTCAGTATTCTTTCTCACGCAGTGCTTTTCTCTCCTTTCTTCAGATTCAAAATCACTTGTTGCTGATACGAAGTTTCCTGGTCGAAGGGCAAAGGCTTCTTGGTCGAACACCCCTTTTAACTTAGAAATTTTATCTAAGTATTTCTTCTCTTCTTAGCATAGCTTCGACACAACTAACATCACGAACTCTTCTGTCGAAGCATCTTTAACTTTAGATTTCTTCAACATATTCTTGGCCCGTAGGACCAACATGTGTAGGTGTCGAATTTAGGAGCTAACATAATTATAAATAAATAATTAATTAATTAATTACCCTTTAAAAAGAAGAGAAATAAGAGTGTAACGTTTTGCAGATAAAACTTTTACAGTAATGTTTAGTCTTTAAATTAAAGCTTGTTTATTTATTAAAAACTTTTTTTTAGTAAAACAGCATTGGGCCTGGTTTAAGGAAAAAAAATGTTTTTGTTGTTAAGGAAAAAATTGTTTTTGTTATACAAAATGATTAAGCAGCCCAAGCCCAATTGTTTTTAAAAATTGTTTGTTTGTTGTAAACAAGAAAAATGCGCAAGCCCAATTATTAAACGATGCTGGCCCAAGTTTAATTAGATAATAACTATTGTTCCAATTTATCAAAAATCTGCACAAAACTTGCAGTTAACAGTCACTGTTCAAATTAACACTGGAAATTATTGAAATTAATCCAAATCAGATCTAAAACATGATTTTTACTGCAAATCAAATATGGAAATGTTGTTTAAACAGAAAAAAAAATCCAAAATTACAGAAATAGGGTATCAATTACAAGATCATATTACAGTCAATTACATTCAAACAGAATCAATCAACAAAAAAGATCTAATCCCTAACTTGATTCAAAACCCTAAAAATTAAGCCTATAAATACAAAAAAAAAGTACAGAAGAGGGACTCGGATATTGATAAGAAAAATTTGAGGGAGGGAGAATAGAGATTACACATAAACTTGAAGAAGGAGGAGAGGCGATTGGGGTTTCGACATCTAAAACCCTAATCACTAACCGCTTGTTGTTGCGCCATTGATAGCCCAGTTGCCAGCCTCACTCCATCGCTAATCCATTTGCAAACACCATTGTCAAAGTCGTCGCTGGAACCTGTGAATTGGAAAAGAAAGGCGGATTAGCTCAAATCAGAGAGAAAGCAGAAACCCAAGAGACAAGATCGCAAAGGGTAACAAAACTTAGCTTCATTTGTTCTGTTGTTATATTTGTGTGTTGGGTAGGGACATGGATTTCAAGCGCTTCTACGGTGGATAATCGAACTTAGGGTTTGTTGATTTGGGGAAGAAAAGAAGAGAAAGGGTTAAGGAAGAGAGAAAGGGGTTACACGCGGAGAAGAGAGAAGGAATGAAGACTGTAAACCAAAACAAAAAGGTGAAAATGAATTAAAACAAATGTTCGGTATTCCGTCTGATCTAGTGTACGCACGCCCATAGTAATTTCTGTGTTCCCTCAATTTCATCCAGTGGATCTTGATCAGACGGCCATTAGGCCAAGTCTGCACATTAGTTACCATACTCTATGCCACACACAACCGCTCAGGCCCCCCTCTCAAATGATAATGGGCCAAGCCCGTTTACTTCGTACATCCCCCTTTGCCCATATTTACTGAACACCAAAACCATCTGCACCCCCCATGTCCAGCACATACTTGGGCCCAACTTACCAATGTTATTATCACCCCCTCTTTTACTTGCTTACTAGAAAACGCACCCCCTGGTAATTATTAATTATTTTCTATGTTTTTTATATAATGATTATATTTTAATTCTATTTTCTTCTTCTTCTTCTTATTATTATTATTATATTATATTATTATATTTTTTTATAATAATTATTTTTTTATTATTATTATTAGTTATAATTATTATTATTATTATTATTATTAATAGTAACTTTATTTATAGTATTATCATTTATTATTATATATTATTTAATATCACATATAAACTATTTTATTTAAAAACTCATGAACATTATTTTATATATTTTGCATTAAAATTTTTAATCATGCATTAATCAAGAATTTTTGCAATTAACACAATTAAAAAATACGCAACAAACAACAAACTATTTTTCGCAATCAATTAAGCTAATCAACTATTTTTGCAAAAGGGTTTCAAACAGATTTTGACTAACCGCGCATTTAGTCAAAATCTCCGCAATTACTACTCCCGGCCAAAATGCGAGGTGATTCAAAGTACATTTTCAAACCATAAAAAACACCAACCTCATATGAACTACGAATTGGGACTCTGATTCCTCATAAGAGGATACGTAGGCATACGATCAAAAACCGTAGCGAGTTCCCCTATAAAAATATTTAAACCCTTTCCTCTAATTAAAATTTAAAACCCTATTTTACCTGAACTTAAACCTAAAACCTAATATCCTTGTGAACAAGGTAGATGAAAGGTGTCTAACACCTTCCTTTCGTCTAATAAAGTCCAAAACCTAGAATCTCTGTCTACGAATTAGGGTTTTCTGTTAGATTCTCTTCCCTAGGAGAAAAACTAATAGTGGCGACTCTGATTAAAAAACCAGTTGCTACATCAATAAAACATTTTTTTCAAAATTTTACACTTAGAACTAAATTTAATTTTTATTCACTAAAAAATAAATTTTCCTTTTTAAACTAATTGTTTTCATTTTTTTCACAAGCACCGCCATCACCACTCGCGTCTTTAAGGTACCTCCATCACCATCAATTTCTCCTTTCGTCATCACTTAAAGCGGGTGTCAATCAAATTGATATTTAGCTACATAAGCTTAGCTTATAGTGATAACTTTAGTATGTCACTAGAAGTAAATTTCCTTGTAGTATGACACTTGTTTCATCCATAATAGTTTGCAAACTTTCTTGTGTCATAGTTCTAAATTATGCTTCAGCGCTTGGTTGATCAACTACACTTTGTTTTTACTCCTCCAAGTAACTAGTTTCCCACACAAGAAGGTATAATAGTCTGAAGTAGATCTTTTATCACTCACTAAACCTACATAGTCAACATCAGTGTAAGCTTCCTTAGTTAGACTTCAACCTCTTTTAAACAATAACCATCTCCCTTGAGTGGCTTTGAGATATTGTAGAA